AAGAAGCAGTTGACGCATTTAAAAATGCCGTTTTGGATCTGCCAGCAAACGAGTGGAATAAGTACTTGCAAATGTGTATTAATCTTCGCGGAGATTACTTCGAAAGACAATAAAGTCATTTAAAACTACCTACCGCGTTGTTTTATTTCGATATGGAAAACTTAAAAGACCCCTCGTACTATTTTGATCACTACTAGTATCTATGTTAATTTCTCTTTATTAATGGTGGAATGTCCATTCCTAGGCCAAATCCTTTTCAATGATTTTCTTTTGGTAAATTTCATAGTTTATTGATCGTATAATTTCACTCATTGAACCTTCCATGATAAAGTCTGGTATTTCGTGTCGGTCACCTTCCTCCTAAGATTGTGGTGTGCACGCCATTTGTTCAACCTCCAGATTCTGGGATATTACGTGCCGAACACCAGTTTGTGGAGTAGTACCCCTTCATATAGTACCTTACGTTTAGTTGTTTTGGTTTGGGTGCTACCCCGTCCATTTTCTTATGGGACTTAGACTTCAGCGTGGGAAGGCATTGCGCAGAAACACCACACACTCCTCCAGCTTTGTTTGTAGCTGTTTTGCAGCTAGTATTGCCGGAAACCACCTCCAGAAAACGTAGTTTTCAGACGGGTTAAAGAAGCGGGAGCATCGTTGGGCCAAGTGTATCGATAAATCGCCAATTTTCCAAAAACCTTGTTTTTCTTTTGTAGGCTAAGTACGTATCGGGCCGCCCTCGTATACCAATAGTGTATATTATCAACCAAAGAATATTGTTTTTGATATCAGCTACGTTATCTGGCTAGAACTAAGAGGTACTTTGACTATTGGTAATAAACAAAGTCAAAAAGTTCATATGACCCATGGTCCAGAAGTCAACAGATTTTTGTCTAAATGGCCTTATAGTTTACAACTTTAAGTTTTTTATATCGACCACAATCACCACAATCTTACTAATTTTTATAATCTAATCTAAAACGTTTTTAAATTGGGTAATTAACAAATAAATGGCATAAGTTTTTCTAACTTAAGCCAAAATTTTTAGTCAGTAAGTTTCATTGAATTAAATATTTAAAACACACATGACAATAGCGCGTCGGTCATTCATCACTCTTATCGAACCGGCAATCGATCGCAAACGGTAACAGTGGTTAGTTATTGTTCGCGTACTTCGTCGTGTTTATTTACAATGTTCTCGAATCAAGAGTTCGCCGACATGTTGTAAGTTTACGGTGAGGCTCGTCAGAATTCAAATCTTGCAGCTCAAATTTATCGCGACAGATTTCGCCAACGGGTACTCCCAGACAGAAGGGCATTTGTTTCAACAACAGGTCAAAGTACTTACTGCTTTGAGCTATTCTGAAGAATGCACTGCGTTCAAGGCCTACCAGTCGGACCAGCAAGACTTGTTTCCCATTTGTTACTCGACTGTGTTCTACAACATCGACAAATGACTGATACAACCACTCCATCATCACGAAAGTATGCAGAATAATCCACAATTTACGGTTCTAACCTCACGTTGTTCAAAAACATGAATTGAAGATCATAAGTTTGAGCGGTTGTTTATTAACGGAGATTTAAGAAATAAATAAAAATGTCCCTAGGCTGGGTCCTTAATTTTTCAAATATACCACCGATTATTAGAATACTAAACCTTATTTCACGAGTATCCATCACGCTTTGACGTCTACCGAGGTGAACAGCTGATCAGCAAGTGACATTTTTGTGTTAATCTGCGATGTTGGCAATAAGGAATCGAGTGTAAATCTAGTACAACCTGCTTGTAGCGTTTTGTTTTTGTAAGCAAATGAACTTTTCCAAGTAAAAGAGCTATTAGCAAGTACAAAATGAATCTGTGGCGTACAAAAAACCAAAACAAAATACGGCTCTGTCTACCTGACGTTGACGGATCCGTCAGAATTATGTGTCCTGTGCCGATATGGGGAATTTTGAGGTATTACTAGATAATCAGTTGTCATTCTTCCGTTATGGATAATGTTTACACTCTGCTACTGACAAATATAACCTAAATATTAATACAGTTAATCGATGTCAAGTACTTTCGCTCCTATTCCTTTAAGCATCCCACAAACCGGCGCGAAATATTCGCTTTGGCTGCGAAAATTTCGTGGCGATGAATTCGCGATCAGATTAAAACGCGGCGGTTTACGGACAGGCTCAGACTTGTGCGAAGCGAATGCGATTGTTCCAGCGTTTTTATCGCGGCGTATTTCAGTTCGCCTTTGACCGCGTTTTTGACGCCGTTCTTCAAAAATTCGCAATGGCAAAAACGGAATTATTGATAGAAATAGTAAAAAAGTATCCTTGTTTGTATGATTTGTCGAACGATGAATACAGGAATGTCATAAAGAAAGACAAGATTTGGATGGAAATAGGAAAAGAATTAAATACAAATGGTATGTATCTAATATTTTTTATTAACTTGTTAAATAATTTACAGTCTACACAAATGTGAAAACGAACATTCTATGTATTGGGCATAGGCATATCAGAATTAAAATAATTTACGAATTTGTCACGAGTAGAAAATGCTAGCCTTGCTGCCCGCCGAGGATCATTTGCTATATCAGTAAAAGCTCGAAGCACGGGTTCTGGGGGATCTAAGAATTGAAAATATTTGTCATCGCCACTTTTACTTCGTAAAAAATTGTGTAAAACACATGCCGTACGTACAATTAGAATAGTAGTATCTACTTTAGTTTCTAATGGCCTGTAAAATATTCGCCATTTTTGAGACAAAATACCAAACGCATTTTCCACGACCCTTCAGCTCGACAAAGTCTTACATTGTATTTCTCTTTTCTGACGTCTGTTAAAGTCTGCTTATAAGGAAATGGTCTCATAAGGTATGGTTTTAAAGCAAATGCTTCATCACCAATTAAGACGTACGAGCAGATTTCATTTTGCCCAGGGAGAAATCTAGGTGCAGGGACACTCATTAAATTTTGTTCAAATCGTTTTCCCATGTTTGAGGTTTCGAAAATACCCCCATCACTATTTTTTCCGAAACCACCAATATCAACACATATAAATTTATAGTCCGGGCCAACGATGGCCATAAGTACTATTGAATATTTATGTAAATAGCACCAGTAATTGGAGCCACTGTTGTTAGGTCTCTTGATTGTTACATGTTTACCGGCCACGCTGCCAATGCATCTGGGAAATCCCCATCTATTTTCAAATTCTTCAGCACATTTTTTCCATATATTCTCTGTTGGTTCTGGTAAATATATATGCTCCATATGTCTGCATATTGCTTCACAGACTTCGGTTACGATTGCACTCACTGTTGTAAAGCCAACTCGAAAGCTATGCCAATGGTATAGAAGGTGTCACCAGTGGCAAGGAATCTATAAAAATCGTTTTTAGGTGATGAAGTAAAAAAAAGGTGGAAGAATATCAGAGACACATTTGCAAAATATATAAAATCTACCAAACCAAAGACCGGCGAAGCAGTGGGCAACATAAAAAAATGGCAGTGGGCTGACTACATGGAATTTTTCCGTCCTTTTTTGGCATTTGCCAAAACGTCGTCTAATGTGAAAGATATTGACGTCATACATTATTAAACTGCCGAATTTAACTCAAATATATATCAGGAAAGGGCTGGAAATGTAGAAACCGAAAATTTGGAAGACCGCGGCCATGGAGAAGATCAAAATGCTGATGTAGATGCAGAAGATGCACAGAACGCCTCGGCAACAGAGACAGCACCACCTTCTTCATTGAACACTACAGCAGTGACTACTCCAGGGCACACCTTTCCGCAGACTGCAACTACACCAAAATATAAAACGAGCAGAAAACGCTTTGAACCACCATCTTCGTCTGTACAACAGCTCATTAATTATTTTGTAGGTAAAAAACCTAAAAAAGAGAACGAGGCCATTGATTCACTTTTCTTGGCACATGCACAGACTGTGAAAACACTTCCCTTAAAGCGTCAAGCTCGAATAAAACTAAAAATAGCCGAATTAATAGCGCATGAAGAATTTGAACATACTGAAGAAATGTCTTCAGCGTCTACCCAGAATTCTGCAAGTATGTATGATAGTAGTATGTCGTCCTTCCCAAGCGGCACTATACACACCAATAATATACCCAACAGAGGAGGCAAATTCTGCCTCGAATTATTTAGCAACATTTAATCCTAGTGGCAACATGTAGTCCAATTATTACAATAAAATATTTATTTCACGATCCCTGAAGTTTTCGTATTCGATAAGCCTACTAATTTTAATACATATAATTTTTTTACCTGAGTGTAATAGCAAGTCGTTCTTCTGGCGAAATAGCTTCACGATAATTTGTGTCAGATTTTCGTATTTCATCTTTCACCAAGTTCAATATTTCATCGAAACACTCTGGAGTCATTCTAAAATATACGTAAAAGCGCTGTTCATCCAGCCGAAGTTGTGGCATCAAGGTATGGTATTCCCCAAATTTATTTCGTTCCAAGTTAATATCATGTACCCACTTCCTTCGTTTCCTAAACAAAATTGAAAATATTTGTTTTATGTACTTCGTTAAACTTAATACATACCCAACTATCAAATGGCGTTAAATAAACATAACTTACCGTGCATTTTGTTCCTCTTCTAAAGCAAGAAATAGAAGTGCCTCCTCTTCTTCTGAAGACGAGCTCATTGCAAAAGGCAAAAATAAAATGTACGCAACCTGTCGAAACCTTCACGTTCGCGGAAAGAATAAGACGCTTTGGTATGAATAAACAGGCGAAACAGATTGCGAATTTCGCTCTGTATTTCGTTGCGAATACTTCGCCGCGATTATTTCGCGCCGGTTTGTGGGATGCTTTATGGTGGACATGGCAACAATACTGAACGAATATTCGAAAACAGTGCATCAAATTACCCATGAAACATGTTTTTAAAGACACCACTTTCTTCCAAGCTTGCATAATTTCTTCTTTTCATCTTAACGAGAACTAACAGCCATTTTCTTTCTATTTTCAGACTTATGTGGTCTACGTAATAGTAAATTGTGAAATGACCATTGCCGAAGGTAGAACAGTTCTGATGACCTGTTACATTTTAGAAGATAAATTCCCCATTAAATCTCCTGTAAGACAGGAGTTGCTTGAATTGATTGATCAAGTTCATTACCACGCGCCTGTCTTCACCGCTTTTGACTTGTTTGAGCTCAACAGACGCACATTTCTGGTACTCATATCTGTTCTGACCACGTATTTTATCGTCAGTATACAATTTATCATGGTAAATGCTAGCTAGAGTTGTTTGATAGGAACACGATGTTAGATCCAGGGACTTACTAAACCACAATGTATAGGCATGCTCCGTATAAAAATGCTAGAATCACTAAGGAACCAGCTACCTGCTGCAGTGACAACTTAAAATTGAGGGAAAAACTTAAGAAAATATATGAATCTTACACAATGTACCTACTTACTAAGAAATAAACTTACCTTTTTATATAGCTACTTTATCTGGTATCACACACAAGTTATAAGAGGTATCAAAATTTATTATACAGGGTGGTTTCTTCTGAAAGTAGTACAAATTAATCTGATGTACCTATTAAAGTCTCTTTAAGCTTTAAATCAATAAATCTTCAAAACTACTGAACTAAAGTACATTAACTTTATATCATTATAAAGGGAATTGAAAGACCCTTAAAATAAGGTATCACTCGACCCCCATTTCCATTTAAGATTTTGAGGGTGGTGTCACCTCCGCTTAGGGGGCTGCACGTGCTAACGTGATTTTTAGCCAAACTTGTGTCCCCCTCGAAAACAAAATCGACGGGTCTGAGCGTTTTTCCAAAAAAAAACTGAGCTGCCAGTAAATGCGTCTGTTTCGTTTTCGATTCGCCACCCAGTATAATAAAATGGTGATATTGCATAAGCAGAAGTGCATACGTAATCTAATCCCGTTCCTCTAGCGACCTGTCGGCATCACGAATTCAGAAGTAACACCTTCCACACAAACAAAATAACTTTTCCTAGCTAGCTATTTTGTTTATGACAATCACAATCACCGCGAACGCGTTTTAACACGCTTAAGTTCATACATAAGAGTAGCTAAACGGTGTCCAAAAACAGGATTTGAATACAAACTGGGTATTCGAATATTGAGATTCAGAAATGGTATTTAGAATTCAGAATACCGAGTGCTGACCAAAAAAGTGATCAGTCGAATACCAAATACCAAACATACAAGTGTATTTGAATACCAACCAAACGTATTCTGAATAGCATTCAAAATACCGAGTATTCGAATATAGTTGTAGTCACTGTTCTTGGCGGGTCAAAGTAAGACTACCCAGTATCCCTTATATATCTCCATCTCCATCATACATACACAAGTAACCTACCCCTGTATGTGAACGTTTGTTCGGTAAGCTCAAAGACATTCAGTGTCTCCGTCTCGAAAAATTTGTCGTTACGTATGAGAGCCCCTCAATCATATTTGTCAGAGTGACAACTTACTTGACATCGGCGTGCAATTTAAGTTGCCCTGTTATCAATCTTACACATAAAATACTTTATATAGTCGAAATCACGAAAGATGACGATTACGTCATCATTTTAGTTTGTACTAAAGACAAACGATAGCGATTTGTGAATATTTTTAATGAAGTTTAAGATAGAGACAAACAGATTTTTATTGTCTAAACAAACTGTATTGCTAATATGCATGTATCTGACAAAGATAGACGATGTTTTTATGTTGCATGATCGATCATATTTGAAAGATGAATAGTTAGGTTATGTTAAAGCAGGTTAGGTTGTTTTCGAATAATACTTTTGTCTTTCTGTCTTAAGGTATTCTAATCATAACTGCTTTTTCCAAAACAAAAACTCCCCACATTATTATTACTAAAAACCATGGAATAAAATGAAAATAAAAATAATCAGTGAAATAACCTAACTTCTAAAAATCATAATATAAATTTGTTGTCATTGATGCTGGCATCGTGATTTTATCATCGACGTACGTCCATTTACTTCAGTACAATTTATGGTATGACGTAATAGTCATCTTTCGTGATTCTGACTATATAGTCAACGCCAAACAAAGTGGCGTGCACGTCATCACGATAAAAATTCCCCGACCTAATGCCTAGGTTTCTATCACAAACAATTGCTCTATTGCAGTTTCATATTAATGTGATATATAAATTGTAAAATGGCCATTACTCTCTTATTATGGTTAATAGTCATATAAACATTGTTATTAAAATATCACATAAGTTGCTTTCTGATAAATTTAGACGCATTATGCGAAATAAAATGTTTTGCAAACGCTCCAATCACTTATCGACATGTAAACGCACTAAACCGATTTCGCAGCGTTGACACATTGTCACCTTGAAACTTATTTAAACTGGGAACTGACATTTGTATTAATTTTGACACTGAATCAATTTGTGGCATTTCAAATCTTTATAAATCCTTTGGCCCCGCATACTGTAAATCAACAACTGTTTGTTTCAAAACAAAATTATTCATTTTACGAGTAGATAAAGGCAATTTTGGTATATAAAGATGCCCAAACAGTTAAATAGTCGGTGTAAGGAACTCGTGGCCTCGTTAATGCACTACTTTGAGCAAGAAAGGGACAACAACGGGCCTTTGTTGCCTTTAAATGCTGTTCAAGAGGTAGGTTACTAATAATTATATGTAATGTATATTAATAATAGTGAAATTTTATTTCATTTTTTGTAGCGTGTTGCTGCTGCATTAAAAATTAGTTTAAGGACAGTTAGTCGTATTTCCGAGGGTGTGAAAAGTGATGCAAATTTAGAATCGCCCAAGAAAAAGCGGAGTTATATTAAACGTGTAACCAACACAGCGACATTGGATACAAGTGCCATTCGAGAAGTGATCTATAATATGTATCACAAAAGTAAGATCTTATTATAATAACTTATCAGAAATTTGCATTAATTTGTTAACTAAATTATAATGTCATATTACACATGGTTTCAGAAGAACAAGTTACGATACAAACTTTATGGTCTCGATTAAGAGATAGGGCATTATTTGATGGTAGTGCCACGTCTTTAAGGCGGTTGCTTAGAGATCTTGGATTTAAGTGGCTTAAGGACAATCCGCGACGAGGGCTCATGGAACTACCAAGTATAGCTTTGAAAAGGGTGGAATTTCTAAGGCAATACAATCAAGCCAAGGTTGAGGCCTTATACCAGTTTGTCTTCCTCGATGAAACATTGATATTTCAAAATGGGACCATAGGTCGCTCTTGGCAAAATGGAAACCAAAAAAGCGTGAAAGCTATTAAAACAGATGGTAAAAGGTATGTACTTTTACACAATTTGCACTATAAAATTTAAAACTAATATATTTTAGATACATTATATTACATGCTGGAAATGAAAATGGGTTTATTGAGGGTAGTGAAGCGATATTTTCTTCGAAAACAAAATTGAGCGATTACCATGGAGAGATGAACCAGGACAATTTTTTGAAATGGTTTCAACATCAGTTATTAGAAAAATTGGAGAGTCCATCTATGATTATACTGGATAACGCCCCTTATCACAGCATGATATTGAACAAAGTGCCCAACAATGCATGGACAAAAAAAAATATCCAAGACTGGTTGACAAATCAAAACATACCATTTTTAAACACAATGTTTAAAACAGAGCTATTGAGTATTGTTGCTCGGTACATAATGCTTCTTAATTATATATATATTGGTCGACAGTTTATATTTCTTTTGTTTATTCCTATTCTTAAAATAACTGCTTTTTTAGAAACAAACCACCTAAAATATACGTGATTGATGAATTGGCGGAACAACATGGGCACAAAGTTCTTCGTCTGCCTCCTTACCATTGTATATTTAACCCTATTGAGTTAATTTGGGGCATAGCAAAAGGTTACTATACCAGACATATTGGTAGAGATGGTAACAGTGAAAAAGACTGTTTGGATATGTGGAACGAGGCTCTACAAACGGTTACCCCAGACATGTGGAAAAATAGTGTTCGACATACTGAGCAAGAAATTTTTAAATGGTATGAAAGAGAACGAATTTTTGATCGAACCTTTAATAATCAACTTTGAGAGTGATAAAGATTCAGATTCAGACAGCGCTGAAGAAAGAAACTCCGACGAACTTTATTGTACAGAAAAAGCTTACACCAGTAGCTTACCTAATTTTAGAATGCATTTTTCTGTATGAATTCTGTAAAATAAATACCATGCATAAAATTTGGAGGACCCCATTTGGATTTTTATTCAGTACCTTTAAGCTATCAATTAAATATGGTAGTTTCATAGTGTCATCTGATCAATAATTGTCATACTTAATGATTATGCAAGTACAGATCTATAATTTTATTATACTATTATTTTTGTTCTCATTTGAGGTTAATATTGCTTATAAACCTAGATATGTAAATAATAAATTTTATTATTTTACAAAAAGTTTGGCAACAATGTAAATTTTTCAACACACCCACCTTGATGACGTGCACGCCACTTTGTTTGGCGTTGACTATAGCTAGTTTTTCCATGAAATAAGATAGTTGCGCCTGATAAGAAAGCAACGAATCCAATAAAGACTCCTTATATTGTATAAATATTTTCAGCTTGTAAATTGGTCACATTTGTCAAAATTCACAGTCACATAAATTATAATTGATCTACAAAGCAATGTAAATCATATTTATATTAGATAATCAAAGAGCTTAGACACATTTAGTAGAAAAATTAATGAAACATTCTAGATACACAAAATATGATCCTTGATCAAGCACACGTTTTATACTAAGTTTGTAGAATATCCAATTTACTTGAAAACACGTAGTAAGAGAAGGGAAGGTTCAAGAACATTTAATGTCAATCCAGTTTCCTCTCATCTTACACTGTCGATGGCTCCCTCCCTAAACTTTGTACATTTAACTTATTAGTAAATTCTGAATTTCGGCGGAAAGCTCTGCCGCATCAGGCTTTACTGGAGCTTCCGTTGTTTCAACGCCTTGACTCAGTCTCTGACATGCCTTTTTGTGCCAATGCCAATGCAATCTTTGACAATTCCTATCACAATACTGCACAGCTTTACACTTAGAGCATTTCTTCGCCGGTTTTTCTTCACCACAAGTACTGCATACAGATATGTTATCAATGAAACCTTTCTGGCCATTGATAGCTGCGTTTATGATACTCAAAGCCGAAGGGGGATCGAGCCCTGTTAGGCTTGTGACCATTTGTCTGAACAATGTCGATTCTCTGTACGGAAACTCTCTGATGCACTCTTTGATGAAGGCATCCATTGATTCTAAGTGACCATCTTTGCCTGGTTTCAGAAGATTCCTGATGAACAGTTCGACAACGTCTATTTTTTTATCGTCCGCTTTTTCTTTTTTCTGTTTGAACTTTAACAATTCGTCAATTGTGTAAGCTAAGTAGTGGAACTTGAAAGCCATCGTTTCGTTAGTTTCAGGTCCTCGCTTCATTTCTTTTTCACACATCATCTCTACTACTTTTTTGATATCAGGCAAGTGATCCGCTAATCCTGCAAGATTCTGTAAATTCAGTACGACTTTGACTGGATGGATGTTGACCTCCATGATGAACTTGTGTAAGCTGTCAGATAGGAAAGGCATCAAATACTGTTGCATTTCCAGGCCATGTATCCTGGTGTAATAATCGACCTCTGACTTTGGGATATAATTATTGATCACAGCAACACAATTATGATGACCAACGAATGCTGCCATTTGAGCTGCTGTTCGGCCAACTGTGTTCGTCTCTTGAGTTTTTGCACCTGACAGAAGTAGCGCGAGTACGACTTCGCGGTTTCCTGAAAGACCAGCAAAGTGTAGAGCAGTGTAGTTGTGTTGGTGCTCGCAGAAATTCACGTCGGCACCCTGAAAAGACGGAGCTACTATACAAGGTGGTCTAGGCTCTTTGTGCACAAACTTATAGAATAAACAAACGCAAATTAGATTGGACGAATTTTTTGGCTTTTAGCGCCACTAGTATGTGGCTGAAGTTCCGATCGATCATCCAAATAGAAATAAATCGATGCGGTTTTCACATAGCTCCGTTGTTTTAATGGCTTTCTATGTACTGTACAAGTGTTACCAGTCTCCTCCAAAAAATTCCTCAAAGTGAGGAGTATCACGAAAAAATAATAGTCTTTTTTAAAAAAATCTATTTTTCAAATGACCAAAGACTGTGTCAGATATGTTGGTTCATCAATGTCTTTTCAGATGTACCCAAGGCTCCCATGTTGGTCAAGTTTTATTTAATTTATTTATTAACAATGTTGCAGAAAATAAAATAGCAGCTATTTGATTTTTGCAGATGATCTTAAATTATTCAGAACAGGGATAAATATCCACAATGTGGAAATCTTACAAAGAAATCTAAATCTTACTGATACAGGATAAGCTTCAGCCATAATTCAAATGCTCTCATGTATAAATATTAAGTTGCAAACAGTGACCTTGAGAGCTGATACAGTTAGGGATTTAGGTATAACTTTTGATACAAAATTAACTTTTAAAGCACACATTAGAGAAATTACTTAAATCATATAAAATACTGGGATATATTTTTAGATCTATCAAACATCTCTCTATAGTAGTTTTTCGAATTTTGATAGAAATATGTTTTTCTTTATTGTACTCATCAAGTAAACCCTCATTATTGGTATAATTATCATCATCATCATGGCTTCTCAATAATATTATTGACAACAATTTCAACAAATATATATTTGTTGAAATTGTTTGGATAATCCTCAATTTAAAAATTTCTGAATCAAAATCAAAAGTTTGAAACAATTGGAAGTTCTGACTTTTCTGAAATGAAATCGTACCTCTGTAAAAACCCTGATTCCTACTACAAGCTTTTTTGTTCAGAATGGGTGAACAAATCTGTAGTACCTTTGAATTTCTGACTTGTCTATTAGAAAACTCTACTGTTGAAACCAGAGGCAGCTTTCAACGTTGATGGAGCATCTATTAAAACCAATCTTCATGAAGCATGTCCATGGACATCCAACCACTTTTCTGTGAATACCTGGCATATTAGTAGCATGTTGGTAGCAACATTTCATGTGAAGAATGAAAGAAACACGCCTAGGTTTGTCGTTTTAAAGTTATATGAATTTATGATTTCAGACAATAATAGACTACCGCGATCGTTAAAATGTAAATACCTGATCTAATAAAAGCTGAACGATCTCCTTGTTTCCCTTGTAGGCTGCATGTTGCAGAGGAGACATCAAATTTCCATCTACAAAGTTCACGTTTATCTTTTCGCTAAGCAGTGATTTCAGTTGTAAAACATCATTTTTCTCAATTGCGTCGAGTATTTTCTGTTGCGCTTCAGTTAACGGCTTTGGAGTTTTCTCAGACATTTTCGGTGTTTTTATCAAATTCGCCTTAAAACGATTTATTGTTATGATAATAAATTCGCCCACTAGAAAAGTTTTTAGGTTAACTCAACGTCAAAGTGACACAGAACGACAGGAACAGAACCTTTGTTTCGTGCATCTATGATATGCTATGTTGCCACACTTCTGTATATTCAGAGACTCTCCAATATTTATACAATGACTAGGCGTATTCTTTGCATGTGCTGCTGCTTTAATAGTACATGATTTACGCTGGCAAAAAAGTGATGAGCATTATCTGTAATATATTACAGAAGAAACATGTAACTGAAGATTTATTAAGCTATTATGGTCCCACCAAAAAATACTATAAACATTATTGGCATGAAAAATGCAATAACTTTACTATGGAGCCGGCTTCGAATAGGGCTTCGGTCATGCCTCGTATAACGATAGTCGTAGCGGTCTGGCGTAAGGCAGGCATAGAAGCAAGCGTAAAATTCAAAAGTTTTGTTTAATTGTCCTCGATATGACTGAAAAAGTTGTAGAATTCCTAAAACCTGTCGAAGCGTTTATGTTTAGAAAAATTCGAAATGGCTCCTTCCTCATTCGTTAAAATCTTCGGATTTTATTATCATCTTCTGAAAGTTCACGTGCAGCAACAATATTTTCTTATTATCTACGATGTATGGATGGATCCAATGAGTACGTCGCTATCTACTTCTAACATAATCAAACAATAAAAAATCCTCTTCGTCTGAAGAAAATGTAAGATCGTCAATGGGTTCACCAGAAACATCTGGTACCGTTGACGCCATGATTTCAACTGAGATCTTACAAAACGATACGTTTACCTGACGATGCGTGTGAGGAACACTGCAGCTCTCGTAAGCGTTGCGTCATAACGATACGATTACGATGCGTGTGCGAAGGCCCTTGCTTGGCTTTTCCGTATACGTCATATCTATTGTACGTATGCGTTTTACGTCAGTCGTGGTGGGTGGGTGGCCCTTGACCTAGGTTTCTAGAGATAAGGCATATTTGGCAACCTTGGAAATTGTATAACCTCGTGCGTTTAACGTCAGATGTCAAGTACGATGTCACCTCTTCGACCGACTGTTCACTTTGGTGCCTGTTGAAAAAATTTGAAATTTTTCGAACTCGTAAATTACTGGTCCATTTATTACTTTCGAAGCAATACCTAGGTTTTAAAGATGCAAGGAAATCTGTGGAAAGTCGTTGCCGGCACAACAAAGGTGAGTTTGAATTACATTACTAATTTCACCTTATGTAACCTATCCTACCCAATTTATCCCACGTACTGTGGATCAAATACTGTTTTTTCACCGAATTCTCTTGAAATTTTCAGCGAAACTTGAAATACAATCAGAGGATAATCACCCTCCTACAAGGTAGGGCGTACTCAACCACCCATGATGCAGATATTGTAGTTATAGGCTCAGGACCTGGAGGCTATGTAGCGGCTATAAAAGCTGCCCAATTGGGCATGAAGGTAAGTTCCAAATTCATAATTGACATTCCAAAAATGTAATATCTATTCCCCTTTCAGACTGTATGCATAGAAAAGAACCCTACATTAGGAGGCACCTGCCTTAATGTGGGATGTATTCCCTCTAAGGCCTTATTGAACAACTCTCACTATTACCACATGGCACATTCTGGCGACCTAGCGAGTCGTGGTATTGAAGGTATGATTACAAAACTTGATAATAGGAAATTTTTGGTAATCAGACATACTGTGTATCATCATTGCTATGATGAAACTTCCTATGTAAAATTATACCACATCCGTGCTATCTGAATATCTGTATAGTTAAATATGAGCTCCGTGACCTGATGTTCAAGAGTTTCACAATAAAAAAACTTTAGTGGTCTTGTAGATATTTACAAAAAAATTAGTGTGAATGGAAGTGAAACTGATTTCTTAAATCTACAAGAGATTTTATGTCATTCTATGAAAACTGCTTCAAACACATAGGAGTTTTCAACAAAAGAACAATATGTAAACATTAACATTTCTTTTTTACCTTTGAGACTGTAATTTATATGATGTAAATTCCAATGTTTATGTAGTCATATTCATTTTACACACAATGAGCGGTATGCTTGGCTCACTTTGGTTTGTTCAGTTTATTGCACATTCTTTTTACCAGAACTCAGTAAATGAGGTGAGATTTTTAGGCATGAAAAATTCAATAGTGATACTCTTAACAGAAAAAAAGTAAGACAAGGTGTTTCTTATTATTTTGTTTTTTGTCTCGTTAGGAGAACAATTTGAAAATGAGATATTATATTTTTCCATTACCCTTGGTCTGTCTGTTGGTCTTTCGACTAATCTTTGGACCACCTATAACTTGGAAACTACTGCTCAGATTTGGATAAAATTTTCATGTAAGGTTACTACTATGCCAAGGATCCTTTGTAGTTTTTGAAAATTGGCCCGGTGGTGACGGAGCTAGGGCCAACAACAGGAAGAAAAATTGCTCAAACTTTGTCTTTTTTGACATATTAGAGGCGCCTGATTATTTTGCCAGGAATTTTTTTTAGGGGTTGAAATTCAGCTTTTTCAAATCATTGGAGGGTGGGATTCATTACCTACATGTGCACAAGAACAGAAGTACTCCATCCCATATTTTTCTGCAACATTGAGTTACATTCACATTGAGAAACCATCTATGTTATTCATACATTATATGGATAGAACGATATTAAGACCCATTGTATTGAAATTTTAGTTTCGGGAGTTACCCTGAATTTGGTATCATTGATGGGTCAGAAAGAAAAGGCAGTCAAAGCTCTGACAGGAGGTATAGTACAATTATTCAAGAAGAACAAAGTGACATTGGTGAATGGTCATGGTAAAATTACTGGTGTGAATCAAGTAACTGCACTAAAAGAAGATGGTTCAACTGAGGTTGTAAACACTAAGAACATTTTGATAGCTACTGGATCAGAGGTTACCCCATTCCCAGGTATAGAGGTGAGAGTAAAGAAGTTCATTAGAAGTTTCAGATTTACAGAAATATAACTAAAGATTGGCATATTAAAAGATAGACAAACTTTTCATCTGATTTTGCAGATGTTTCATCATCTAAATATTCTGTTGGCTATATTGGGGTGCTGAGTAAAGAGGAGGTATCTGCAATTAACCTGAAACTGAGAAAAATGCTTCCGAAGTTTGGATCTCTGAATTTTGTTTACCAAATGGTCAGAAGCATATATTTCATATTCATCGACTTCATAATTATTTTATTTACATGAAGATAATAATAATAATAATAATATTTATTTACTCTAAAATACAGGGAACATGAAACGAGTAAATAAATATAATATATCCATAGGAGGACAACGCCTGTGCATGGATCATATGTATGTTGAATTGCAAAATATAATAAAATAGAGAGAAAAAAGAAATTATTGGTAAGAATGGTAGAGCATTTATTGTGTAATATTTGAGATTATTTTATTAATTTGATTTCTCCCAATCGTGTTAATAAATTTTTTTAATTTTTTTTTGAAGCCTAATGTATTACGTAATTGTTTTAAATTATTTGGTAAATGTTCGTACAATTTTGGAGCTATATACAGGTGACATCGTTTCATTAGGGATTTGTTTGGTTTAGGAACATTTTTTGCGCGTAATTTATATCTGGTTTTATGATTATGTTTAATATATATAATATATAATAAATTGTGATAATGAGTGATGGTATGTAAGAAGTAAAGTTGTTTAGTATCATATACTTGTGCATCATTATATAAGTCATTAGTTGGGTATAATTTTGATTTGCCTAACATTGATTTTAAAATTCTTCTTTGAAGTACATCTAAATCGTTAAAGTATGTCGTGCATGCAGCACCCCACACTACTATACCATATGTTATGTGTGGCTCGACTAAAGCTTGATATATTATTTGTAGATAATATTCAGTTAATATACCGGTTAGAAATTTTATTTTATATGCTATGAATCTAATTTTCTTTAGTATGTGAGAAATATGTACATCCCATCTCTAGTGGGGATCTAGATAAATTCATAAATATTTTGTATCATTAACTCTATTGATTTTTATATTTTTATCATTTACCTTAAACCGAAGGTGGTTATATTTTGGTAGATGATTAGATAGTGATGAAAATGGTAAAAAATGAGTTTTAGTAAAGTTAATTGTTAATTTTCGGTTATTAAACCACTGAATAATTTTGCAAAAGTCATTTTGGATAATATCTTTTAAGTCGTTCCAATTCTTACCTTTATAGAGTATAGCAGTATCGTCTGCAAAACTGACTATTTTACCAGTACTGTTAATTTTGAATATATCGTTTAAATAAATATTGAATAACAGAGGACCCAAAATTGTACCTTGTGGAACACCACATCTAACAAACATTTCTTTACTATACGAGCTTAATAATTTTACTGATTGCGGTCTATTTGATAAATAATTTTCCATTAACGTATACATCTTTCCACGAAAACCTATTCTTTCTAAGATTTCCAAAAGTATATTGTGGTTAACTGTGTCAAACGCTTTTTGTAAGTCGACAAATATAGTTGAATTACATGAAAATATCATTTCATCAGCTTATTGAAGTTGATATGGCTAATTAAAAATAATTAATGTTAAAATACTAAGCAAAATAGCCATAAGTACAACATTATAAACTGATTGATATTACTAATTATATAAAAGTTATGTATTCATGTTACAACTTTTCATACTTAACAAATCTCAATACAGCCAAAAATATATATGATTTCAAGAAAACCAGTGTTTTTTGTCTGATGAACTTTGCCAATGAGCAGAGAAAATACAATTGATCCATTAGATATCAAAAACCAAATATGCCCTAAAATTGCAGATAAGCCCTCTGTGCTTAGCACTGCCATATAGTATGAATATACTTGAGAAAAGTGCTAAAATGTACAGGGATTTATTAAAAGTTACCATAGAGGATACTCTCAAAAATATTAAAAAAATTATCGGTTGACGTTTTATAAAACTTAATTTCATTTCAATATGTTAAAATACCTGTCACCAGATCATGATATAAAAGACTGAATGGAAAAATTTTGATAAAATTTAACCTTTCTCTTTAGGGTATCATGTGTTATCAGTATTGAAATTTCATTCTATGATTGAACTGGGATGTGTTGAAATAATGTTATCACCAACTACAGTTGTTATAGTATTTTATTGGTTTTACATTTAGAGTATGATTTTGTTTATTAAATTGGATGATAATGCTTAATTTGTTAGGTTAAAATTATCTCTGCAGAAGCTGATGCTTGATATTGCATTAAAGAGGATTGTAATCAGTATATGGGCGCATATTGCAAAATTTTTTGAACACCAAAAATATAGTAGCTAGATGCTGAAATAAGGAAGTTAAGACTCATCTTCATGATTTTTTTGTCTATATCCAAAATAATTAGAATCAAAATTATCAAAAAGGTGAGAAACATACAAAATAAGGTTTATATTTAAAAAAAAATCTTGACCCATCAAATACATTGTTTTGACATAGCCAAAGGTAGCCAACAAGGTAAAAAACTGACAAAAGTCAAGATTAGGCATGCAGAATACAATGCCGGGTTTATGAAGCCTGAAAAACCATACCGCATCTACCAGTAGCGACGGCATCTAGCGGTCACAATGGTGACTCCACTGTCAAATGCGAACTGAGATATAGTTCCATTAGACAGCTAGTGAAGCAGTGGTCGATTCTGCACTTTGTGCTCTCTTATTTTGAAAAAAAACCTAACATTCAATTACAGCATTTAAATACTTCCATACCTACTGATACAGGTTATAAATACTCGGTATACAAAAAGATTCCAAGTTTTTTTTGGATCTTGTTATTTCTTGTAATGCATCATTTTTCTCAATTGTATTTTCTGTTGCGTTGCGGCTAACGGCTTTGTTTGGTTCATTATGGTACGAAATATTTCGTTATTTTTAATTCTTCAACTTTAGTGATAACTTTTGCGTGTAAAATTTGTTTTTTAAAGGTTGATGAGGAGCAAATTGTATCGTCGACGGGAGCCTTGTCACTAAAAGAAGTACCAAAGAGGTTAATTGTTATTGGAGCTGGTGTCATTGGTGTAGAATTGGTAAGTATTGAGTATTTAATTTAATGACAATGTACAAAGAACCAACAAGTTGGAAATATTCTAATTAAAACTTGGAATTTCATTTCTGTCATAGATTTGTGTATGTATTCTGTTTCAAAAATTTGTTGAATCAATCCCAGCCCCATTTAAAACTCGACAAAAAAATTTCGAGAACTGCGCACTCTAGAAAAAAGTTACGAACCAAAGGTGTAGAGTTTGGAGGTGGAAAAATGATGATGATGATGACATTGAAAATGACCATCACTATGACTTTTAGGGTCCTGTCAAGGTCAAGAGTATATTTTCAAATGGACCCCGCCGTTTTTTTACATTGGAATTGGAAAGGGGAGCGTCCAAACAGTGACCTTGACAATTGACTTCCAGGTCATTCCAAGGTCAAATCAGGACATCAAAAACAATTTGCTCTAACAAAAAGTTTATCAGCACAGTTATGAGGTTTGTGGGGATCACCCAAAGGTGATCTTGACCATGACCTTGGCGATGACCTTCACGGTCGGATCAACATTTCCAAAGGAAACCTCTCATTTTTGTACTGGAAATGGATAAAGCAGGCAACTTTACCACATCAAATAACATTTAAGCTTAACATGGCCTTGACTTTAGGTCAAGCTCACCTATTCGACTATAAAATTCCCTCCTTTTTCCATTTCCTGCACAAAAATGAGAGGTTTCCTTAGTAAATTATGACTTGACCTTGAAGGTTGTGGTGTTTGGGTGATCCCTACAAACCTCATAACTATGCTATCGAATATTTTTGCTAGAGCAAATTGTTTTAGATGCATTGATTAAATCTCGAGATGGCCTTAAAGGCAATGGTCAAGGTCATAGCCAAGGTAATGTTCGGACATAAAATAAGCTTTTTCCACTTCTGTTATGAAAAGGTGAGGGCTTACCATACCTTCAACCTCATTTGAAGGTCAAGACAATTATTTCAAATGGAATCCCATATCCTTGACACCGAAAATGTAAATAGCGGGAAATTTTACAGTAAAGTATATTTTTGCTCATGACCTTGACCATAACGTTCACGGGTATTTGAAGGTGTCCGGATAGTAGGGAAAGGACAAAACATCTCGAAAAATAGGTTTCATGAAGAAAAAGGTGTAATAGTTGATTCATCGAACGGTGACCTTCAAGCTGATTTGAAGGTCAAGACTGTTTTTTTTAAATGGAAACCCCTATTCTTGACCACGGAAATATAAAGATAAATAAACTTATATTCAAGTTTGTCAATGACCTTGACTATGTCCATCAAGGGCATTCGAAGATCAAATGAATATTTAACGGGAAAAATTTCTTTTAATTCCTGAAATGTAAGTTGCGGACAATTTTAAGTGCCTCAAGGTCATTTTACGAGGAGATAAATTTCCTTACTTTTCGTCGAGGATATAAGAAATCAAAATATTGTCGCTTTAAAATGTTGGTTACAAATGCTCATTTCCAAAGTAACTATGACGTTACTTTGAATCGTGTATTTCTTTCTCCAAAACCAATCTCTTTTATACTAATTAAATAAATGACCTATACTGTACACTATTTCCAGGCGAGTGGAGCCGCGGGTTTAGTCTAGTTATTTATAATAACCAGTATGTTTCAGTTGCGTTGCTGTTTTATAATTATGCTTGTAACTGTTTTGCAGGGCTCTGTCTGGTCCAGGCTAGGATCAGAAGTGACAGCTGTCGAATTCATGCCTAGCATAGGGGGCATTGGCATCGATGGGGAAGTAGCGAAAACCTTCCAGAGGATACTTCAAAAGCAGGGCTTGAACTTCAAACTGAGCACGAAAGTAACAGGAGCAACGAAAGAGGGTGGTGTTATTAAAGTTAATATAGAAGATGCCAAAGATTCTGAAAAGAAGGAAACGGTGAGTTAATTAAAATCTATACAGGGTGTCCCGAAAAAAGTGTGCCATGGTTTGATAAATTCTGGTGAATATCAGTAAACATTCGAAGTCCAGGTACTATGGGATTGCGAAATCTTCTTTGATATTCTCTTACGGCTGCCAATGACCTGCCATTGCAAAACCCGTACACAAAATGCATGTCAGTCAATTCTCTGTCTGTAAATCTTGGCATTTTAAATCGATTTAATAAAAATTTTGATTCTAATCTAGTAATTTTACACTGCTAACAATGTCAGCTTAACGTCAAAATAAGTCATAACAAATCAAAACAACTTGTGTTTGCAGTCATGGCTAACTATGTATAATCAACAATTCATTTAAATTCACAGTACATTTCCTATCATCTGACAAATTTTTTAGTTTGAATTTATTCAAAAATGGCACAATTTATCGATATTCAATAAGAGTACCTTTTTATGAAGAAAACCCGAAATTTTCAAATTCTAAAATTGAATTTCAGAAATAGAATCACACAAAAATTTTGGGGCTAAAATAACCTGAGTCCGTCCCTGTTACATACGCTTCCAAACAAAACTGTCTAAAATTGTTAATATTTTTAAATCCAGCATAAAAAACTAGGCTAGAATACCAAATTTTATGTCTTTATCTTAACACGTTTCGGAAATATTAAGGAAAAACCATCTTCAGGGCAGCCCCTTTAAAAGACCGTAGCGCCCTTAGGGGACGTTTTTCGACCTATGTTTATATAAACTTTTCTTCCTATTTTAAGCTCTAGAAACTGCTGGTAGAATATTGCACACTTTTTTCGGGACACCCTGTATATGGAGAAATGCTCCACTGTTCTTGTTTGTGAAACGATAGTTTTGAAGTGGTACAATCTGCACGACTGACAATAAAGATACAGCATTATTGTTCGTCTGATTTTTTCAGTTGGAATGCGAAGTCCTCCTTGTCTGCGTCGGAAGGAGGCCTTACACACATAATCTTGGCTTGGAAGAATTAGGCATTGAAAAAGACCAAAGGGGTAGGATCCCTGTAAATTCAGTATTCCAAACAGTTATTCCAAATATCTATGCTATCGGCGATTGCATTCATGGTCCCATGTTGGCGCATAAGGCTGAAGATGAAGGTAAGCGAATAATTAAAAAGGGCAACTAAATCACTCTTTTTTCGCGCTTTATGAACGATGGAAGTATGGTTAGAATTTTTAACACAATTTTATTAACCTGAGCTGTACGTAACAAAATCTTTCAACCTAATTTCCACCAATTTCAAGGAGCCTGATTAAATTTGAAAAAACAGAATTTGCGAATTTGAATTTTTCGAAAAAACTAAAAAGAGCAAAACACTTTTCTAAAATTCTGTTATAGTAAACACACGTGGGGTGCAATTAACTGTATGACCCAATTTTGCAAATAGCAACCAGAAAACTTGAACTTTTTGTTAATATATTAATTCTTGCATTGATCTTACTCCAAATTGTCATACTTTTTGGACTTTGCAGTAACACAAGCTCTCTAATAATTGAATATTATTTTATACTTGTTAGTTCGATTTTTTTAGTAATCATATGATATTTGCCCTTGGGTGGTAAAAATGTCAGCATGTATTTGTTATGGGACTTTTTGAACTTTTTTTAATTAGATTCAACACTTTTTTTCAGGCATTGTATGCGTAGAAGGAATCTTGGGTGGTCCCGTTCATATAGATTACAACTGTGTGCCATCAGTCATCTATACTCACCCAGAAGTCGGCTGGGTTGGCAAGTAAGTCAATTATTTATTTATTTAAACTCTTACAAACACATTTGAATGTAGTTACATGTAGGAGTGCTTACTGGCTAGTAGAGAAACAGATAACACACAAAAACTTATAACTAAAAAATAACGACAAAGAAAAACTATAAAAGTTAACAAACAAATAAAATGAGATACGGATGTTTTACTTAAATTTAAAATCAGTCTTAATTTGTCTCGCAGTAGTCGAAAGGAGATCGACATTACAATTTTTTATATAACTATTACACTCATACATCATTCTATTGATAGAATAACAACTTACAGGTGAACAGTGAAAGGGTTTGTTGCCTCTTATTCTCAAGTTGATTCTAGGAACAGCAAAGAATATATTATTTATTAGGGAACACTTCTATATTTTAAATTATTAATTATATAGTAAATGAACAAGATATCATTCAAAAAACGCCTAACGCTCAACCGCACAATTTTAAATTCTGTTAGCATACTATTATAAGAGATCATGTATGGATAAGCATTGTGTGTCCTTAAGTACAGATATCTTAAAAATCTTTTTTGTACCCTTTCGATCATATCAACATGAACCATTGTTTTGGGTGCCCAGCCAACAGAGGCATACTCCAAAACAGGTCGGACTGTACAAAATTATTATAGACTTGGTTTCCTTAAAGTGCTCTGTATTCCTTATCACAAAACCCAGGATCTTTGCTTTGTTTACAAAAGTTTCATAAAGCTGATTAAATTTTAGCTTAGTCTGAAAGCAGACCCCAAGATCCTTACATTCATTTTTCTACTTTTCCTACTTAACAATGAGTTATCAATTTTGTAATTAAAATGTATAAATTGTGCTTTTCCTGTAAAAGTTAAACTATGACATTTGGCAATATTCAACGACATTTTATTCTCCTTGAAACACTGGGACACTGAACGTAAATCAGTTTGCATCTCAATACAATCTTGAAGGCAAGTTATATGCTTGTATATTTTAAAATCATGAGACATTTGGCATATTTTACACAGTTTGGCAAATCATTCAGAAAAATTATGAATAATATAGGCCCAAGATTACTGCCCTGGGGTACCCCAGATGTTATTATGTTCGTCTTTGATAAATGCTTACCAACTTTAATCTGCTGTGTGCCTTAAGGTTAGGGATGATGTCATAAGCTCACATGCACTTTTTGAGAACCCAGATTTACCTAACTTGCTCACCGACAGACCATGATCAACCTGATCAAAGGCTTTCGCAAAATCCGTCAACTGTTCTTTGTTGTCAATTGCCCCGGCAGCTGCCTCAGTCAAGATGCTGAGGTTGGTGACAGTTGAGACATCGGGCAGAAAACCATGCTGCTGCAGAGTGAACCTACGCATAAGAGAGCTCAAAATATCTTGATACAAGATATTCTCAAATATTTTCGCAAGAAAGTTTAAAACGCTAATTTGTCTGTAGTTGTCAACAAGAGAATTATTGCATGTTTTGAGGCCTGGAGTAACCAAAGCATATTTAAGAGTGTCTGGAAATGTGTTTGTTTTAGAACAACCTTTGTATATGTATGTATCATTGCCAGTGGCCTTTTGTGCTTTTAACTTCTTAATGGCTGCCTGTATTTGCATTTCTGAAATAGGAGAGAATGAGAAGTTACCATTACAAACGTCAAAGTTAGGTTTTTCGGATTGTTGGAACACAGAGCTAAAATACAGAGAAAATGTATCAGCTATTTCCTGGGCACCACCAATAGTACATCCTTTATAGCATACCTCAGCAGGCATACTAGGTCCAGAACGCCTAGACCTGACAAAGTCCCAAAAGCCATTTGGATCAGTTTTTACATATTTTTCATGATAGGCTACTTGTAGTTCATTTGTAGTCTGATATTTGATTATTCATGCTTGTACAATTTGTAACTCCCAGCCCCCTTTGCCTCTTTTAAAGTACATGGAGGTAAATTAAATTTTGAAACTGTCATACGATCTTCGGGTATCGGTTTCCTTGTTAATGAATATTTGAGACCATCTGGTGCAGTAAAGTTGGAGCATATTTTTCGCACTTTTCAGGAGTTGCGCGTTATACACATTAACATTAGAGTTGCACTTTTAACGTCGTATCTTAGTAATATTGCAAAAAGATGGTTTGATTGACCTCAATTTTAAATTTTAGATGTTAATAACGAACTTGATATCTATTGTTCAAAACTCGGAATAGCGGTTCTAATATGGCGGCTGTGTTTGCAGAAAATGTTTTGATTGCGCTCAAAATTAAGTTTAAAGCGTTTTTAGGATCGCAAATTACGAATTATACAGGTATTTACAGAAGGTGTTCAAAATGTCGTCCTCCACCTTCCACACAATCTTCATTACGACGAACCAAGTTTCTTCTTCCTCTAGGTCCTCGAAGTTGTCCATTTATTATATCAGCCGCATTAAAAATTTGTTCGCGAAATTGTGATTCAGTTGCTATTGGACCAGCCCCATAAACCATCCCTTTAAGTTCTCCCCAATACCAGAAATCCATCGGATTGAGGTGAGGAGATCTTGCTGGCCATTTTCAAGGATCAAAAGCATTTCGACCGATCCAGCGATTTCCATAATAATGTTCATTCAAATACTGAATGACGCGTCTAAAAATCTGTGGTGATGCCGCGTCATGAAGAAATCACAAATTCTGTCTCCGTTGTAATGGCATGTTGTCTAAGGTCTGTTCCAAAAGTTCTGGTAGGTTATTGGCTAGAAAGCTAGGTTATCCTTCTCCTGACAACTTTGGGGGTAACTCGAATGGGCCAATTACCTGATCGTCAAAAATACCCTCCCAAATATTTATTTTGAAACGTTTTTGGAAATGACCATCGCGAATGGTATGAGGATTTTTTTGGGCCCACGTGTGAGTATTATGGAAATTTAATATCCCGTCTCTCGTAAAAGTACATTCGTCCGTCGCTAGAATGTTTTTAAAAAAAATCCGGGTTTTCAATGTTTTTGTGCAAAAACCACAGACAGAATGTTAGTCTGCGAGGATAGTCTTCTGGTAACAAGGCCTGCACTCTTTGTACATTGTAAAGCAAATTTTTCCGTAGGATTTTATGGACTATGGTATGCGATAGTCCTACGCGGCGCCCTAATTCCCGGGTGCTGATACCTGCATTGATTTCCACGATATTTAAAATTTGTTCTTCCTGCTCTACAGTAACCTGTCTTTCACGAGTGCGAATATTAGTGGGCTGAACACTTCCTGTATCTCGAAGTATTTGGTACACTTGCACAAATGTCCTTCTGTCTGGGTGTACCCGTTGGCGAAATCTGTCTCGATAAATTTGAGCTGCAAGATTTGAATTCTGACGAGCTTCACCGTAAACTAACAATATGTCGGCGACCTCTTGATTCGAGGACATTGTAAATAAACTCGACGACGTACGCGAACAACTAACCACTGTTACCGTTTGCGATCGATTGCCGGTTCGATAAGAGTGATGAATGACCGACGCGCTGTTGTCATGTGTGTTTTAAATATTTTATTTTAAAATCTGTTGACTTTTGGGCCATGGGTCATATGAACTTTTTGACTTGTTTTGACCCCCCGTATTACCCATTTCAATAATGACTACCATAACGTTTACACCCTGCATAAATAAATAGAGTTTGATCTGTGTGTATTGAATTGAAATTTCAGTTCCCCTTATTCACATCTGCGTATTCTTGCAGATCCGAGGAGGACCTGAAGAGCGAAGGCGTTGAATACAAAGTAGGAAAATTCCCGTTCGCGGCCAACTCGCGAGCGAAAACGAACAACGAGACCGACGGTTTCGTCAAAGTGCTGGCGGACAAAGCGACAGACCGCATTCTGGGCACGCACATCATCGGGCCATCTGCCGGCGAACTGATCAACGAAGCGGTTTTGGCTCAAGAGTACGGAGCGTCCAGCGAGGATGTCGGCAGGGTGTGCCACGCTCATCCCACGTGCGCAGAGGCGCTCAGGGAGGCCAACGTCGCGTCGTACTTCGGCAAACCGATCAACTTTTAAGAGCAATGATTTTTTAACCCATCGACGGCTGGTGAGACGGATACTGCGTGTTTAATTTTCGTCAAGCGGATGATCGGGAGGATATAAAATATATAGGTATTAAAGTTCCGGAACCCTACGATAATTTGTGAATGGTATGAAAACACTAAGCCCCGCGATTGATAGCAGTTTTCCCAAGCTATGACCTTGACGATAATCTTCAAGGTCATTTGAAGGTCAAGTCCATTTTTGACTTCGTAAATGGAAATTTTACGTTCAACTATGGTCTTGGCCATTCTTAAAATGTGACCTTGGGAGGTCATGGCCAAGGTCAAACTCAGGTACACGTTACAAAATTATTATTGACAACTATATTTTGCGTGATGTAAAATATTAGGTCATGTTCAACATTATGAAAATGTCATGTCAGTTGAGGTTCTCATCATTTCGTCGATTTGTACATAGCTTTAATCTAAGAGTAAGTTATTTATGAGTTGTAAAAGTAGAGATTAGCTAATAGTCTCTAAATAAAAATATTTCGGTATCCCGGACAATATGATTGGAAGACATTTTTTCTCAATTTACCTAAATATCATTCATTGCTATTTAGCTCAGCGCCACCACTGTCAGATATTTTTTTAATAACATTTCTGTGTATTTTTATTTGTACTTTGTTGTTATGATTGCTTGTTAATTATCAAATAAAAAAATGGCACTTATTTTTATGTATTTTTTTGCTATAGTCATTACTTTTGTAGTTTTGTATTCCTGACCGTTGACGTCAATCTATTGTTCAGGACGGAACTGCATATACAGAAAACCAAATGTGTACGAGAAGTGTCTATAGAAAGATATATACAGGGTGACTTTGAAGTTGAGTCATTAATGACTTTTTTAAATTTTCAGACAATGATTGTAGAAGGAAGATAAACCAAAAAAAGTGTGAAAATAAAAAAAAATTAAAAAAAAAATGTTACTTTGTTTTATAAAGTATCCTCCCGACAAGTATTTCAGTGCGGACCTGTATTTGATCGTGCGGTCTTGGAGCACCGGCATGTCCTCCCCTGTGAGGTCTTAAGTCACCTGATTCACGAGCCCTTTGTACTGCATTAACAAAGGCACGAGGGGTTGGTTGCACTCGATTGGGAAACCGATCCGCATAAATCCGTGATGCCGCGGCAGCATTTTGTAAAGACTCCCCCTCCCCCCGTAAATAAGAATCAAACACCACTATTCACTCACGCGTTACCGACTGCCACATTGACTGAATAAAACTGAATAAAATTGTAGTAAAAACATCGTGATAAGCGTTTCAAATTCTTTCGCTTTTTTGTTTCCGATGCGATGAACCGATAAGGCGGATTATATCCGTTGTTGCCAAACACGAGCACATAATATTATTATTGAGACAGGGCGGTACTCAAATTTCTAAAGGGCTATAACTTTGTTGCTTTAATTTTACCAGAAAAATGTTAAAGGAAAAAACATTTCTTTTGATCAGATCTACTCACTGTTAAAATAAATGACTCAACTTCGAAGTATATAGAAGAAGCCGGCTGGAAAGCGAAGCTCATCACCGCGTTGCCAGTTCCTTGAATTAAGATGCATACTGAAAATATGCGTGAGTTTATTATATACTCCCAAATAATGGCGTCCTAACGGGCCGGCGCTTCATTTTAGGTAGAGATGAAAGGTAAAATTCTGCAACATTGCATTATTGGTTCGCTTGGCAACACCGCATCTCGTACATTCCAAGGCAAGGTTGCCACCTCCATAGATGAGCGATTTTGGGCAGTACCCACCTGCGCTCATGGGAGAGTGTCGTCCTGCTCCGAAATGGTTTTCACGTGCGTACACGCAGGCAGTGATGACTTGTATTGCGCAGTGGTATAACTCAGGATGTGTTGATTGTATCACCACCGGTGCAAATCAAATATAATTCTAAAATTAAAATACTAAGTCGCATCTAAATTGAAATAAATAAATCTAGTCAAAATGAAATCAAAATATTGTTCGAGCAGATAACGTCAGTTTCAGGGCAAGTTGATTTTTATATGTTTATACTAGAATAAATCTGGCACCAGTTGCTCGAGAATTCATGGAACTCAATATATAAATTATCGATAATGCCGACAACTACTTCATACAAATTATGAATAATATGGATAAATATATTAGTAAAGCTATGGTCCAGAAAATAATATATGAAAGAGTGAACTCAACACCCTGGTTTTCACAGATATTCAAGGAGTCTAAATTAAAACGCGATAACGACTACAGAAAATTTTCAGTAATCCAAAGTGAAAATGATTGCAGACAATATACAAAATCAATAAACGAGTGTGCAGCAGTTCTCAGGAGGAAAAAGAAAAAATACGATGATGAGAAGGATGCGTGGTCAGCAAGAAATCCAGCAGGCCACTGGCGTGTGACGAGACGCGGGGAAAAAAAGTAGGGCTCGTCACCAGCTGGGTCAGCGCTTGAGAAAGGCGAACGCTGCGACTGCACGACCTGCTGCATCGGTCTTGTTTGAGCCCAACCAAAGCTCATTATGGGCATTGAAATCACCGAGAAGAACTACCTCTGAAGCGGGGCGATTGATGTTCAGGAAGTCGATCTTGACGGCGAGGTATTCGAGTAGGTCATCCCAATTATGGTTCGAGGGAGAGCGATAAAGGCAGCAAATAAATTTGGGTGATGTTTTGGAGTTGAGGGGAAGACAAAAGCCACAACTCCCCCGTTCTTTCTCAGATTGGAGTGCACCTCGTAATCTGGGAAGTTGAGATGGTTAATCGGTGCAGACTTTTGTCTCCGCCAAGAAAAGCATGGCGGGGCGATTGGATTGCAGGTAGTGATGAACAGCACCAATGTTGCTGTTAATCCCGCGGATGTTCGTAAAACAATTGACATTGTAGCATTAATGCTAAATAAATCTTGAACAAGAAAAAAAAAACGGGTAGCTTTTCAAGGGCCGTGTTTCATTGTCTTTGATTATGACCTTTACAAGGTTAAATCAAGTTGATTATTGCCGTTACAAGGTCAAATCAAGGTCATGTTGATTTTGAAGGTACAGCTCAAAGGGTACAATGATTCTTTCATTCAGAAACTAAAATGATACTGTGGTCTATCTTGTATGATCAAATGTGGATTTTCTACATGCCATTTTATGATGTGCCGATTCATGTAACCATCTTTTTTAAATGTCGTCTCATCAGTATATAAAATTCAGGTGGCTGAACTTTTGGGCACTCCCATGCTTGCTTCTGTTTGACGTACTGAAGTACTCGGGTCTTGTAGTACGACGTCCTCGTAAGGAAAGCACCATGTGGTTGATATGGGAATCGTTCCTGTGAGAGTAAACGGTGCACATTCGCAAAAACTCGGTAATCGGGATACGGCGAGCAGCATTTGGGTACATCACACGATAAGCCTTAGCTGCAGCACTACCATTCTCACTATATTCCCCATAAATGAGGAACATGCGTAGTCCTGTACAATCATGAATTAATAAAAGTGGCGTTACTATCTGTCTTGCACTCCTAAGAAAAAATTGAAATTTGTAGTAATGGGAACTAGAAGATCGTCACAGGGTGATGACTTGGCCTATCCTCCGTTTCTGGATTGACGTCGACTTGTGGGACACGCTGTATATTCCAAAATGGTAGACAAATTAGACGCTAAAAAGTTAATGGATCAATTTATATCTATCCTTCTTGCTGAGGAGTATAAATCATTTGGTGTAATAAAACTTTTTACAAATTTTTCATGGTATACAGGGTGTTTCAGTTTATTGTTGCATAACTTTAAGATTCGATAGAACTTTTAAAATTAATGCATAAAGTCTATATAGACATGGGTCGACAAATGCGTGGCTTCCGAAATACAGGGTGTTTAAATTTACTTTCTAAAATAGTTTTTTTTTAAATATTTCGAACAATATTTGATGTATAACAGTGAAAATTGATATACAAGGGTTTTTTGGTACAACAAAACGAACCATGGGCATAGTTTTACTGTAGCCGCTAGAGGGCGCTCTCTACTGTACCTGTAGTGTATTAAAATGACCGAACAATTTTTCTTAGTGCAATTTTTTGCTTTTTGAATAAAAAAACTGATCAGCCTACTTCTAAAAATTATCAAGATACTGACTTTTTAACGTTATTTCATCATAAATAATTAAAAATGCATCGAACCTTAAAAATCGAAATATCTCAAAAAACGGCCAACTATAACGAAAACTCACAGGAGAGCTTTTTTATGCAGAAAAGTGCGAAGAATCAGTTTTTTTATTCAAAAAGCAAAAAATTGCACTAAGCAAAATTTTTTTTTAATACACTACAGGTACAGTAGAGAGCGCCCTCTAGCGGCTTCAGTAAAACTATGCCCATGGTTCGTTTTGTCGTACCAAAAAACCCTTGTATACCAATTTTCACTGTTATACTTCAAATATTGTTCGAAATATTTTAAAAAAACCATTTTAGAAAGTAAATTTAAACACCCTGTATTCCGGAAGCCACGTATTTTTCGACCCATGCTTATATAGACTTTATGCATTAATTTTAAAAGTTCTATCGAATCTTATGTTATGCAACAATAAACTGAAACACCCTGTATACCTGATCCAATTTTGGAAAATAATACTCCCTTTTTTCCACCGGCTCCTGGTAATAAACTTTCACTCAACGCGCTAAACCTGTTCCAGCGGCCCCGATTAGGAGAGTAATCATATCTCACACAACGATATTCATGATTTGTCCTTATTCAGTCTCATTACTAGGATATAAATTCACACCACACTGTATTGTGGAAATGGCCGTTTTAGAACATGTTTATAGGGACCTTTTTTGTTATTTTTGAGTTACTATTCTTCGACGCAACCCTGTAGAAACCACCTACGGGTCGGAGTTGACGGGTTGAACATCTTCGGTGTAAGGATGACTCAGATATTAGCATTTTTTGCCTTATGTTCGCGATCTGATAAGGTCAGATTGAGCAACAGTTTATGGCGAGGGTTATGGTATTAGATAATAATTTATATGTCTGCTTCACTAATGGGATTATTTTTTATAGCCGTATTGTGGGTATTCGTCATTTTTCGTATTAAAAAGAGACGAATATGAGTGCAAACTGGCCTTCGATGGCGTGGGCCTCTACCTGATGTTTGAAGACATGGACCTACTGGTGGTATACAGGGTGCTTTCCAAACATGGGGCAATTCATGGTGTGGTTATGGGGACTATCTGCTTCGTTTTGATACAGATTGAACAACATTTTCGAAATTGACACTTTTTGTTAGCAAAATTTACATGTTTCTTTATCTACAAAAAATGTTCAAAATAATGACCTTCAATAATTAGAATGTAGGGCTCCAGTTCTGTCGTTAAAGAGTACTAAACCGGACACCTGACTCATTATTTGAAGCCCACTAACAGACATACGAATCACTTTTTCAAGTCCATTTGATTTATTTTGAGTATAAAAATACGTGGTATATCTATGTCTACGGCATATTGGGACACCCTGTATATCCGATTTCTCAAACCTATATTCATTTCTCTGGAGTGATCCTAGAAGTCAGTTGAACGAGCAGGTTATGAGTGAAGTTCCTCATTCTGGGGGAACGCTGGCGTTCTATGGCCAGCAATTTTCTCGGTCACCACCTTTTTTAATAGTTTGGGGTCGTTAGCGATGTAAGTGACTCGTGCAGAGGATGTTGTACAATGGCCTCAATGGTGCCTGCATGTGCGTCTACAAGAGGATGCCAGGGGAGCCTTGGACGTTAAAACTCACATATTCAGCATAATTTTGTGGATTTATAGAATTTACCCCGAAGAAAATTTGCTATAGTGCGCCCTTCAAAAAGTTTTGAGGGCAGGTACATTTGCACAAAAAGATCGTGGCAGATTGACCTCCTATACAGAATACAGAAACGAAATATTATAGTC